ACTAACCATCCTTGCTGAGCTTTCAGTCTATCCACAGAAGTTGATACCATTTCTGTCCTGCTTAGAGGAGGTCTTATAAAACATTTCTAAAACAGATCTTTCTCCACCAGCCGCTGCTTGTTCATGGCATCTGTGTGGCAGATGACTTATGTTGACCTGGGCCAGCGTCACAGGTGCCACATGCATTTTTACGAGCCTGCTGGTTACTGCAGCCCTGTCTGCTGGTGTCAGAGCGGAGGGCTCCAGGAAAACCTGAAGCTCCCAGGAAGTTATCAGCAAAACCTCCATGCTGGACCTACACAGGTCTCTGAAGCTGTCAGGGAAGGCTGTATGCTGGTTTTCCTGCTTCAGGTGGCCAGGCAGCAAGTCTGCCTGCCTCAAGAGACCAAAAAGGGATAAACCAGCAGCTCTAGCCAAGGGCTGCAGTTGGATAAGCTCAGCCTGCACGCGAACTGACATGGCCAAAACAAGCTTCTGGACACCAGCACAAAGCCTGGCCAGCAAAAATGCAAGTGAAGTTTCCCTGATAACTCAAGCAGGTGTTGCATGCTCTTCAGGACAGGACCTCTGGAAAGGAAGGTGTGTGGATCCTTCCACCGCCCCCAAGAAGAAACCAGCAGAAGACCTGTCACCTCTACAGGGTCTTACTGAGTTAGTTTCCAAACCAGCAAAAGCCACAGCAGGAGGAAATACCTGCCAATGCTGATATGGCAGGGAGGACCAGAGGATTGTTCAGAAGAAGCATCGTCCATCTCGTCTCTTACCAGTCTTTCTCCAAACATTTGAAATGAAAATTAAAAAAGCCAAGAAACCCACCACCAGCAACAAAAAGCCAAACCCAGTTTGGTTCGTCTCTACTCCCAGAAGCACCACCATGCATCATGCTCGATGGGAAACTTAAAGCAGGGGGGGAGAGCAGAAGGACACCAAATGGTGGGCAGCAGCTAATTCCTTCTGCCTTTCACAACAATTGGTCTATCTCCTGCCCCAAAGACTTGAATATCTGCTCCAAAGACATGAAACCAAGAGGAGGCAGAGCCTCCGGTGGGCTTTTTGGCACATGCTGTGTTTCTTGCAAGAACCATCTCTAGCAGTACGTGGGATCTTTACTTTTAACCTGTGACACAGCCCAGGCAGGCATATGTCCAGGGTCACCCGCTGGCATCCACCTCCCTCCCAGGCTGGTTATAACCATGTAGTTTGGTTCCTCATAGACTCTATTAACCCTTTGCCTAGGAGAAAGGGCAAATGCCCAGACTTGACAGAAATGCTTGAAAAGAGGAACTCTTTATCAGTATGGCACCAATTAAAGCTGCCTGGAGAAAAGGCAATGGGCTTGGGCTGCTGATGGAGACAGGTCGAGGCAGCAGAGGACGGGGATGCTCACCAGGCAATACCACACTCTCCTGCTGCAAGAGAGGAGCCTGCACGAAGCAGAAAGCAGACGACAGCAAAACTGAATGGGAAAGCACAGCACAAGGGCTTACACTGTCTCCCCGTGAAATGCCTGACATGATACACCATGAGCAAGTTGCCATGACTTGCAGATGACACTGGTCTTCATCAAGGCAGGACTCAAACCAAGGTCGACCTTGATGAATCGGTGGGATGATCTGAAGTCAAACAAGATGAACTTCAGGGCAGACATGGGCAAAGCAAGGAGGGGATGGAAATCAAAGGCATAGTGGCCAAATGGGAATAATTGGCCTGGCAGAATGGGTCTCCAAGGAGGGGACAAGGCTGCCACCAAACATGAATGCATGCAGTGACGATTGCTTTTCCAAAGCAGCTCTCACGCTGGGAAGCACATGGTGAGCCCATCCAGTGGGAACCGCTGCTGCTCAGAGGTAGGGGTCCCAGCTGGAGAGCTTGGCACAGGAGTCTCCTCCTGGGGACCAGCATCCCCAGCTGCAGAGGGCCCCGGGGGAGCCCCCGAGGGACAGGTTACAAACCTGACATGGTGCAAAAGCTAAGGGAGCCAAGTTTGGTCAGTCTGGAGGGGAGAAGATGCGATAAGGAGCCTTTAAGTATAAAAAGGTGCTGATGGCTTCCTGCCCTCCACATGCCCTGCCTTCACCAGGGTCCACCACCCGTTCCATTGAACCGAAGGCACTGGAGATGAAATGTGTCCCTGTCCATACAATCTGACTGCCCTCCATGTCATGCCATGCACACACACCAGTCCATGCCTCTCCCAGCTGCAAGAGTCACCCCAGCCCTCCAGCACTGCTCCTCAGCATTTAAGCAACTGCTTTTGTAAGCAGGTTATGAAAGCAATCCCTGGCAGCCTTTCAGGCTTTATTTGCCTTGCAGCCTGCAGTTTGTGTCCTGCTGGCAGGCAGGGGAGCCTGATGACTCACGGATGTGCGGTGACTACCCCCCCATCCAGGGTCTGCACCCCCTTTTTCCCTCTTAGCCCAGACACATGCTGGGTGCTGCAGAGCTCAGCTGTATCAGTAAGGAGGGCTGACTGCTGCCTTTTTTTGAATGTCAGTGAAGAATGCAGTGCAGGTTAATGCTATGCCAGCACTGCCTCGGACAGAAGGACCTGCTGCATCCCTAAAACATCACATCTTGCCATCACTGCATTAGGCTGCCTTACTTCCCAGCTACCCATCCTGCATATCATAGACAGGCAGGGAGGAAATTCCATTTCCCAGGTTTTCCTGCCAAAAAGCAGAAAATAGAGGAAGAGACACTCAGCAAGGCTCACTCTCAGTCCAACCGTGCCTTTGAGGAGCCCAGCACCATCCAAAGCATTTCCAACGCTGTGCATGCAGCAATCACCCCTCTTGTGCAAACGCAGCCAGCCAGCACAAGACATTTTCCCTCCACGGCAAGGTGCCTCTTCACACCCCCACCATGTCCTTTGGAGTCCTGCTCCCAGGAAGGACCTCCTGGGTCACAGCCTTTCTGACCCAGCAACAGTCAGCCAGTACTGGCACAGGCTCAGCACAGCCTTCAGCAGCTGACAACTCCAAAGATGTGCCAGAGGTGCTCAGGGAACCGCTAACACCACAAGAGAGGTCACGCCAGCACCTGGAGCCAAACAATCAGCATCTCCAGGGGAAGGACGAGTGTCCACCACACTCACAGCCACACTGGATGGTCTGCCAGTGACCCTCGAGTCCTTTGCAGAGGCAACACACTGTTGTGATGCTCCAACACTGTCCCAGGGATGGGAGTTGGAGGAGCAGGAGGGAGCTGCTCTGGTTCCCACCTGAGAAACCAGCTATGCTGGAGAGATCTCACCTTTGCAGCCCCACATGTGAGCTACAGCTTCAGGAATAGGAGCCGAACCATCCACAACTCCTGGGCCTGGAAGAGGCTCCTCAGCACAGTATGGCACAAGCACATCAGCACAAAACTTCTCTGGGCTATGGCTGGGGTGAGAGGGTGGCCAGCAGGTCTGTGCACCCAGGGTAGCTTGGCTGGCCTCCTCTTTGCAGTAATTTTCTTGCTCATAAAGGCAGCACCACGTCAGGTGATGTGTAATGTGTACAAGGGATCCCAGCTTCTCAAACCCAAGGTCTGCAGAAAAACCCTGGAGCCCCAGCACAAGTGTTTTCACCAGCAGTAACTATCTCAGATACATCAACTGAAAATCCAGAGGGCAATCGCTGCTGTGACCTGTGAGCAGGAAGAAGGACCTACAAGCACTTGGGGGAAAAACACACCCCAAAAGCCCCTGGTGCCAAGAAAAGAAGCAAAATAGCAGTGATGTCGAGCCACAATTGCTATCCTGCTGCGGTTGCTGCCCTGTACCAGGGTTTCCACAGCAGCGGGGCTGCAGAGAGGCAAACGCGAGGAGATTGGTTTTCCAGGCATATCGGCTCAACCCTTCATCCCGCAAAAATTAACTGGGGTCTCTGGGTATGAGACATCACCCTCAATCTTATAGAAGTGCTCATTAGAGAAGTATAATAGACCCACCACAGCTGAGCCCAGCACGCCAGGGTGGCAAGCGCAGCAGTCTGAGACACCACCCCCCGCCCAAGGAAGAAAGGGGAGAAAAATGAGCTGATGGGATGCCAAACCGAACAAGGGCCTTAGGAGCAGCCTTGTTTAACCAGCCAGCCTCAACAAGCCCTGTGCAACACCTCCTACTGCCATGCCACTCCGCCTGCCCAGCGGAGACAGCAGCCCACAGATACTGGGGATTTTCAATTTAATATAATTATAAACCACAGTTCCAGTTAGATGAGGGAAATGTTGCTGTTAGCAAGACATACTGTTTTACCTATTGCTCCCTTCTTCACCGTGGGCCAGTAGGAGTGGGACACAGGAGGGGTTTTGGACATAAAGGAGGGGTGGTACTGCTGCTAATGAGAAGTAGATGGAGAAACTTTGCAGGAGGTCTCGTCTGCTGGGCAGGCACCCAAGCTGCTCCCCTCCACCCACAGTGCCATTTCTCTGCCAGACACCCCCTCCGAAAGGGATGGGGCCAGGGTCCTCTGCTCCCAACACCCTCCCAGCCTCTCCCAAATCAATTGCCTGCCTGCTCTCCACCCCTGCACCTCAGTTTCCAAGACCAAACTAGGTGGTCTCACTTTCCCAAGGATGTTGCTTTTGTGAGACACCAAGCCCCCGTAACTGACTGAAGAGGATTAGATTTGGGTGTGCAGCATCCAAAAATGAAGGTCATTCCTTCCACAGGGGACATGGATGAAATGTGTGTCATGGCAGCAAAAGAAGACCTGAGGGGTGGATGTTCCATGAGCATAGCAACTCCCAGCAACCATTGCCAACTGCTCCACCTTTCTGGAGACACAGCTCTTTCCTCCCCAGTTTTCCAGGGCAATTTCAGGCCAATATCTCAACTAAAGGTGCGACAGTGATGTATTAATATACAAGGTTCTGATACCACAGCTCATCATCATCCTGCCTTCAGGAGACACAACTTTCCATCCCAAAGCAAATATGGCTTGGGGTGGGATAAAAGCTGTGCAGTGGGAATTGACCCCAGGGGGTTTTTCACCCCTCACAACATGGATACTCACCCATCAAGTAGCTCTTCACCTTCAGGTATCCGACAGCCAGTCGGAGGATGGAGAGTTTATCAAGCCTGGTGCGCACATCTTCAGGGAAGGGCAGCAAGCCAGTCAGCTTGTTCAGCTCCTGGTTGAGCCGGTCTCGATGCCGCTTGGATGGGTTGGACTTCACACCCTCAGGGGGTGGTGGTTTGGGGCTGGAAGAGGCAAAGGAGAGTTTAATCAAACTGGGCCTGTCTGACAGGCTCTTTCCAAACCCAGTGTTGACTTTAGTGCAGCCACAACAACAGTAGAACATCAGGTGGCCAAGGTAAGGCCACACGGCAGCGAGAGCAAGCTCCAGCAAGCCCACAAGGCAATGGCTGGAGGAGACATGGCCATCCCAACCAGCCACCTTGTGCAGCCCCAGGGATGATGTTCTCCAGCTGGAGTGTGGGTTGATCCTCAGATGGGTACCTTAATGTGCAGCCTGGCTGAGACAGCTCAGCTGGATACCACAGCCTTGCTCCCACCCCTGAGCCCTTGCAGGGAAAAAGGACACTGAGGGCAGAGATCTGCAAGCCATCAGAGCATCTCTTGGAGGTCTGGTTAGACTCTTCCACCCACAGTCTGCTATGTCCACCCTTTCTCCTCTTCCTCATCCCATACCTTTCTCACACAGCAGGTCTCTCCCTGGCCACACGCCACATGCTCACACCAGGTCCTCTCCACAGAAAGCTCTACCTTGAGTTTCTCAGAAGATTGCCAGGCCTTGACAATAAGCATGCTAACAAATAGCAAGAATGAAAAGCAGGCAGGTCCAAAAAGATTTTTTATTTGACTTTATTTCAATTAGCTGCTTTTAAGTTTCCTCTGACTGCTCAGAGCCTGAATCCATTGCTTTAATTATGAATATTACAAAGAGGAGTACATGTGAAAGTTAATGACAGGATTTGGACAAAGAGATACTACATAGGGTAGCTTAGCGCACAGCACTTGGAAAACAGCCTCTTTAAAAAAAAACAGATTTTAAAAAAAATTTGTTCTCTTCCAATATTCTGATTTCTGATCCTTTCAGATGGGCATTTCCAACCTAAAACAACATCTGATGCCAAACTTAGGCTCTGGGACTCCATGTGCAGAAGGAGTAGGGTCCATGAGAGCAGCTCTTCTCTGTCTTAAGCTGACATGGGGACCCATCTCTATCAGCTGCAGTTATTTCACACACTACAGCTGAAATCTCAGCCACAGCAGTAAGAGGTTAGTTAATAACATTAATGAATCTCGGATGTCATCTTGTCTCCTTTGGTTTTTAATGCTGGTTTGAATTTTTGAGCTTGAAGAAAAACCCTTCAGACCCCTGCCTCTGTATTTGGTTCCACTGCATCCCCTAACATGCAGCTTTTATTGTTTTGATGTAATTTGTCTAACCACAAACTCCCTCTCTGCAGGCATCCTTGCTTCATAAAGTAGCTTTGGATAACAGGATCTGCCAGTATTTAGCAGCAATTTAAACTCTCCCCTCTACTAGCACTCTTAAATCTCATCTGGCAGGACTGCTCGCATGTGTGACAAGAGAGGAAATGAGCATTAAATGAAATGCAGTGAGGTGCCTGTTGAATTTTCATTGCAGAGAGCTACCAAGGGATCTTCTAAGCATGAATGGAAAATTGTAGCATTTCTCCAGAAAAGCTCAATCATGCTCTTTTGTAACATAAGCATCAGGAGGGATATACCCTGCTTCTCAGAGAGGCTGGGTACAACTCATCACCAAACTTGTCCATACAACCTGGGCAAAACACACTGGCACCAGTGCTTTTATGTACTCCATTAGCCAGTGGCTTAAACACTTTTGAAGTCACAGTCACTCATCAGGAAGGAAAAAATGAAATGGTTTTCCTTTGACTCTGTCTCTGATTAATTAAAAAAAAAAAAGAGAGGTAAAGAAAATTATTCTGAGTTTCCTCAGATATCCTTTAAAGAAAAGTCCTCTGCCCACTCACTATCCAAATCTAGCCCACAAACAGCCAGAAGGAAGAGAAAATGAGACTGGAGATGAGCAAGGAGTGCTGCTCTGTATGGGAGTGGGTAAAACGCAGAGGTGTAATGGGGTCTCTTGGATAGTCTGGCCAAGCACTGGAAATACTCTGCCTGAGACACACGTGGTGATAGTCAGCAGCGAAGCTAAAGGAGGCTAAGGAGGACACCTCAACATCTCTGTGCACGTCCACAGCTGCAGCACGCAGAGCGTTTCACGGCTAGCCTCGAGAGGACAGATGACGAAGAGGCAAGTGGCTCTGGTGATGCCAAGTGGCTCTTTTTGCAGCCTGTTTCTGTGGGCAAATGCTGCACCTGGGAACTCCCAGGGCCAGAGGCTTCACAGTTCTCCACCCTTACGGATGCCACAGGGAAACAGCTTCCAGGTGCTCATAGCCAACAGCTCTGTTTGCTCTCTGCCAGGCAGTTATGAAGCTCCCAAGAGCTCTATGCAAGCCAGCAGGCAGGGCCAAGAGAACCGCCAGCCCCCCATCACATGAACTTACCAAGGGAAAGGCATTAACTTGAGCACAACCGCATTATTAGCCACCAGAGAATCCGCACAAGCAAGCACTGCAGGAAACAACATTTCCCGCTGCTCATGGAAACAGTGAAACTTGGTCTAGATGTTTAAAATCTGTTTAAATTCCCTGCCCTTAGGCCTGTCTCCATCCACACTGCAGGGCTAAGCACTGGCAGTCTTTCCTGGTCCTGGGCACCGTGCAAGGCTGTCCCAGGGAGCACTGCTACCCAGGCACAACCTGGACTTCCACAAAGCAGCTCAACACCTATGCAACAAGCAAGGAAAAGACACTTTTAAAGAGGTCTGAGTCCCTGTTCTGTTTGCAGGAGTTCTAATGCAGCACAGTCTTATGAAATGGATAAGGTGCAAAGCTCAGCATGGCCGTGCCACAAAGTTCACGATGAAGTTGCTGAGAAAAGTGGCTGACCCCCATGTAGATGGGCTGGAGCAGAGCGGCAGGGAAAGCTCTGCTCCCAGGAGGGCAAAGGCTGTGCCACTGCTGCAGTGTTGTTTTTCCCCAGTTGCCCTTTGAACCGGGAACCCAGCAGGAAGTTTATCACTTTTGCAAGCTGGCAAGTACCAAGTGATATTAACTATTAACAACAGCTGAGGTTGCCTGAGCTGATATATTGTCTCCTAATTTTTATTATTTTTTTTAATAAGTAAAAAGCCCTGAGCAAGCTGCAAAGGGACCAGAGAACTCCCTAACCCCATCCTTCCCTCCCCACCCAGCTGGCTGCACATCCCGCTGCCCCCAGCCCTGCTCTGCCTGACCTCTCCCAGCAGGACCCTGCCGCAAGATCTGCCCAGTCACAGAGGAAAAGAATCTTTTCCAGTTCCCAAGGCTGGCCCTGCAGTACCAGGGATCAAGGTCCCTTCTGCTCCAAAGGGACACCTTCTCCCGCACCCTGAGCCACACGAATCCAGCCCAAACCCTCAGTCTGGCCACGCCAGCCCCACCACAGGGCTGGAATCGCCACTCCGAGGTGAGCAGGAGAAAGGTTGGAGGCAGAGCAGCTACCCATCACATTTCCACACTTCTTTAAGACTCCCTAATAAACACCCAAGAGAGGCTCCGGCTCACTTTCTCACCACAGGTTTATAACGTTGATGCTCCCTCCTTCATGCCAGACTTGGGTTCAGGTCACCCGTCCCCCCGTTCCACTGCCTCCCAGAAATACATATATACACCTTTATTTCCTATACGCCTGGTAACCTGAGGTAAACAGGCTGATGTGACTTCAGAGCTGGTATGGGGGGAGGCACGGGAGTCCCAAAGCCAGGAAACTCCAGCAGCACATCAGGGGAGCATTATGCAACAGCTATTGAGCAGCATGCTAATTAATTATTAAGGAATAGGGATCTTTTGGTAAATAGTAATTGCTGTACGTTCGATTTACACAGGCACTGAAACGTGAGCCAGCTTGCAACTCAAACCAGAGGACAGCTGAGCATCTCAGACTCTCCAACGAGCTTCCTCACAGGAACACTGGGGATGCAGCACAATCATCGTCAGGATTTTTATTTTTTCACCAGCGTGCCAGAGCCTACAAAGCATTAGCTCCAATTAACCCTAATTAAAACAGAGTAGCCCAAGCATGCTGTCTCCCTATCTCTTGCTGCTTCAATGCTCACACCAGAGCAGCCTAACGCAGTTCCCCAGAACCAGTCTGACCCTCGCAGACCCGTTTTCTACCACCCCGCCCGGTCCCCCCCGACCTGCCCCAGCCTCCTCCCCCTTCCCAGCGGCT